AATAATAATAATAATAAAAATAATAATAATAATTGTGGAAAATTGCATTTATCTGAATGTATCATTATATTAACAGTAAATGAACTTAGATAATAGGACTCATATTTCATTACACATATACTCAAAATTTCTAAGAAAATTTTCAAGACTGTAGGCATTACTATCGAAGATACGGTACTATGTTCCACAGTCATGCCTCCCTGGCCCTATATCACTCTCTATTTACCCTATCTACCTATGGAATTTGTGCATGGGGTCAACTACAATTAACCATCTCAGACCACTAATTCCCCACAAAAGGCTGCAGTTTGAATGATAAAAAACCAAAAATACAATAAAAAAATTCTCACTACAGGCAGCACACTCCACCAATATTCAATACACTAAACCTACTCACCTACAAAACATCCATACTTATTACTGCACCTATTACTAATAGAACACTTTAACTCTGATATTAACCTCCCCTCAAACATCTCCTTGCCAACTCACAGACACATGACCATAACACAAGGCACAGAGCACTCTTGATGTTTTCCGTGTCCATCTCACACTATGCAAAACTCAATGCACATAAAAGGCCCTAAAATCTGGATTCATACTTGTAAAATATATAAGAACACTACCTTGTTTATAAATTCATGTTCTTCTCAAAGATCACTTACCTCAACCAAAACCAAATAAATATGAATAACTGAACTTATAAATTGTATATCTTAAATGTTTCCAATTATATCACAGAAATGTTTAAACCTAAAACCCAATCTAACTTTATTAATTTTTTTATTCTCTACCTTACAGAATAACTAACTAAACTGAATGCACCATATGACCTGTCTGTGTAATTCTCATTGTGCTTTATAGTAACTCTGTTTTACATTATTGTTTTGTCACTGATTTCTCATTGCTTAGTTATCTTAAGTTAATTTAAGCCAGCCCGTAATGCTATGCATAGTATAAGTGGCTTTGGCATGCTGCTCTTAATCAGTATTTTTGTCGTACCTCTGTATGTGTGCTCAAATTGGAAATAATTAAACTAAATAAATTATTTATAAGTTAGACAAGTAGGAATTTGGACACTAGGTCGCAAAACTTGTCCCCTGTCGATACTAGAACTGTCATATCCACAAGTTGCTATGGACCTATTAATATAAAAATGAAAATATACATCACCTGGAATGCTGGTAATACAAAATTTGTGGGACTGTTATTAAAATTAAATAAGGATTATATATACCACACATTAGTATGTAAGTAAGTTTATTCAGGTCATACACAAATACAGACAGTTTACATGAATTATCATACATTAGCAGCATATGTGTAGAGAAAACATAGGATAACCAAAAAAGCAGACAGAGTGACTTATTTCATTGAGGGTCATTTAATATCTGAAGAAAATATCTTATATCATCACCAATTTACTGGAGATTAATGTGTCATGTCAGGACCCCCCCTTTTGTCCCTACATTTATGAAGTAATTTTTAACTGGCAGAAATTAAACATAATTTAGACAGCTTATCTGAGGTTCCTGGAGTTGTCCTGTCCTGTCGCCTGATTCTCAAGTTATGCAGGAATGCACATCCAACAATTTCGCCTTCTATTTGAGAGGTGTCAGCCCATTTTTAAACCCTCTAGAGCATGAAAAATTCTTCCCATTTTTAAATTAATGTCTTACTCCATTCAAACAAAATAGCGACTCCCCTTCTGCGCAGATGCAGGCTTTCCGTTTTCTATGACAAATATTATTAAATACAGTATGGCCATCTATATACATATAAATACTGAATTTCTGGAAAATATATACAGTATTTTCCACAATAATAATAATAATAATATCTTTATTTCTACAAGTACCTGTACAAGGTAACAGTCCTAGCTGACATCAATGATATACTACTACATAGAAAGCCCTTGTTATGCAGAGCATTTGGGCCAATTAGGTCAGTTTTGTCCCAGGATGCGACCCACACCAGTCGACTAAAAACCCAGATACCCATTTTATACTGATGGGTGAACATGGACAGGTGCCCTTAGGGAAACACGTCCCTAATGTTTTTCCAGCCGTACCGGAGATTCGAACTCCGGACCTCAGTGTGTGTGAGCTGAGTGCGCTAGCGATTGACCTACGGGACACCCAATAAAGGCTAAACACTGAATGTCCAATGGTATCAATACGACGGTAGGTAAGACACAGGCACCAGTTAGGCATCTTTACTCCGAAATGTTTTCACCTACACAGTAAGCTTTTCAGTCCAATACAGAAAAGTAGGCAGGAGCAGTAGAGATGTGAAGACTATGTAATCAGTCCATCATCCTTGAAGACGTAGATTTGAGGTTGTCAGTGACCTCTCAGTGATTACATTCTTTCTTCTACTACTCTACACTTCTTCTTCCGACAGTAAAGTAAGTCCCCCACACTGTCGCTTGATATTCACATTGTTTCAGACTATGGAACAAAACTCTTCTCCAGGCTGAGGGACTGACAACCCAACTCTACGTCTTCATGGGCGATGGACTGATTACATAGTCCTCACATCTCTACTGCTCCTGTCTACTTTCTGTACTCAACTGAAGAAGCCTACTGTGTAGGTGAAATGTTTTGGAATAAAGATGCCTAACTATTGATATGGTCTTACTTACCAAGCTAAAAACTACTTTGTAAGACAGTTATAATAATCCAAAAATTGTGTAAAATTGTAAACCCTTTAAAAAACTTTTAAACTCCACGGCCGGAGTTGTAAATGACCCTCATTACTGCTACTATGAGACAGTTTAACTTACCACACTGCTTGTTCTCTTTGTATGCACAATTACTACTACCATTATTACTGTCTCCTACTACTCTTGTTACTACTACTACTACAAAATGCTACTTCTACTGCTACTCTTGCTGCTACTACTCACTCGGGTCACATAGTGAGTATCCGTGGTTTGATCCCCAGCATGGGTGAAAATATTAGGCATGTTTCCTTTACTACTGTACCTGCTGTCCCTGTTCCCCTAGCAGTAAGTAGGTACATGGGGGGTAGTTGAATGATGTGGATCGCATCCTGGGGGGCAAGAATTAAAGGACAAGATGGAAAAAGTCAGCCTCCAATGAAGTCAGTGAAGAAAATTTACAGAAATGTTATCTGATTTCTTTTAATTGTGGCTTTGTGATTTGTTCCAGTTATGAACTGGGGGATAACTAATTCTATTGACATTTACTCCTCCTGACTGAAGGGGGCAAACATTATTCTGGGATTACAAAATTTGGGTGCCAGTGTTACTATGTTTAATAAATTCTTACAGGATAATTAATATTATAATTTATCAGAACTAAGCACTAAACCCAAAAGGGTCATACAACTTACAGGATAAAGGAAAATTTGTGGAGCAATATGAAGAGACTGTACTTTGTCAAATGACTGTCACATATACAGTGGGAAACCCCGAATATTGGCCATAATCCGTTCCAGAAGGTCGGCCTAAATTTGAAGCAATATTTCCCATAAGAAATTTAATGTAAATTATATTAAACCATTCCAGACACCCAAAAATAATAACAAAAAAAAACATTTTCAAAAGTTAATTAGAGTTTTTACATACACAAAACAATAACTAAATAAAATAAACAAATAAACATTGAAATCACTATTACATACCTTTATTGAAGACTCTTGTTGGCTTGTGGAAGACAGGGGAGGAGGAAAAGGAGGACTGACATTTTTGGAAGGGGAATCCCCCTCCATAAGGACTTCAGGGATCAAAGTCCTCTCTGGGGTTACTTCCCTCCCCGACTGCAGCACTCCGCTGCAACCCCGCCTGCTGCTAACTCCCCGCCTCCCACACTCCCTGTTTCCCTGCTACACTCCCTACATGCTTACTACACTTCATGCATGCCCCGCTACACTCCCTGCATGCCTGCTACACTCCCTGGGATGCCTGCTACACTCCCTGCATGCCTGCTACTCTCCCTGCAAGCCTGCTACACTCCCTGCCGCCCTTCCACACTCCCACCCTCCATGTTACAATCCCTGCATGCCTGCTACACTCCCTGCCTCTCTCTCCACATCTTCCATTGGGCCCATGGTGGCTTATTACACAGTCGCATTTAATAAACAAGCACAAAAACCAATGTGCGGAGTATACGCTCATTCACCAAGAGACACAGGGAGACTGACTCACCTACATGCGGCATCCTGGCAGAAGGCAGGCTGACGCGTATAATACAGCCAATTTGCAAGGCACCGGCCGAAATACGGAGCAAAATTTGCACTCAAACACTGGCCTAAATACAATTTGGCCGATAGATGCAGCAGCCGATATTCAGGGTTCCACTGTACATTATGAATGCATGTTATGAAAAATACTTACGAAATGACTCAGGGTGCCTGCATCATTATCATTACAGGTTCTGTGCTCTCAATACTTCTGGTTCTCTGCTGACTGAAGTACATTATTACAATCAAAACTAAGAGCTAAACCCACAAGGGTCATACAGAATATGCAGTACAGTAATTCTCAATGCTCATTATTGTCATCAGTTTTGCAATTACAGTTGTACTCTCGACACTTACCACTGATATTAACATATTTACAATTACTATATAGCCTTCCCAACATTTAGTGCATATACCAATGATATTATATAATGACATGGATATTAACAAGACAATATGTAGTTCATGGCAATTTATGGAGATGATTCATCCCCCTGGAACTTAATCAATTCTGACTAAGTTCCTGAGGATAAACATCTTTTGAGCAGAATGCCATAAACTTCATGTTAATAGTCTTATTACTATCAACATTCGATAATTTTCAACATTATGTCATTGATATTTAAACTTAGTCAGAACAAGCAGGTACATGCTAGCTCCATGTACACATACAGTCATTTCCAACATTCACAGTCCTGGATATCCGACTGTACATTACCAGTCTTGACTATATCAACATTCATAGGCAATCTATATACTGTATTCATAACACTGTCTAGTTATAAAAACAAAAATTCAAATTATATACTTTTATTGACAAAAAATATTATATAAATGATATACAGAATAAATAATTTATGGCTGATGATTCAAAATTCTAGCTGAATAAATCATCAACAATCACAATAGTTCACAACACTCAAGATATACATGAATGTACTATCAACAGTCACAACGATTAGCAGTGCATATAGTGCAAGCTAAATGTACAATTGTTTACAATGAATGTAGCATACTGAATTCATGGTGCATGCTGCATGTTTCAAAAACATTCAAGTACATACAGTATTTCCTACATCCAACTTAAAATATATTTTCTTTCAACATGTTCAAAGGCACTATTATTCCTTCTAAATCTAGGTGAACCCTTGATTTAACATAATGGGAGTCTTCATTGAAGCCAATTATCCTTTAAATCCTAATTATCAGAATATTTTTCCATGCTTGTAATAGATGTAATAGAATGAGTCCATTAAGTCTGTAAATAAATTTACCAAATGGACTACAATAACAATGGACAGTTCTGGATTTACCAGATTGTCTGTAACAAGAACAGACAATTCCAATTTATCTGACTTTGTTAAATCCAAAATGAATTTACCAAGCAAACCATGAATTCTGGAATTAATGGACTAAGTCCATTGTTTCCAAATGCTGTTGGCTACAGAGTTTATCAGTTAAATCTGAAATCAATTAAACCTGGGTCCAATAAATTGAGGTCTGTTAAATTGGAGTCTGCTGAATCTAATATTGTAATAAAGAATTATTTGACCTTTCTTCATAGTTAGCTATCATAAATGTTTAGAGCTTTTGTGCTATTATAACTATGTAATAAAATGAATATAAAGCAGAAGACTTCAATATAATGAACATTATTCCATTAAGAACTGGAATAACATACTGTACATCACCATTTTAAACAAAAAAAAAAATTAACCTTTTTAAAGCATCAATCATAAGAATACCCTGAGTATTTTCAGTGTTCATTTCTATTCTATAAATTTAAATAAATAGTAAGAGTGCCACATTTGTATAGTACACACTATACTTGCTGAAAATAAAGCAAACTAAACTGATGCTTATACTGTACCACGAAAATGATAAAGAAAAGACATTCTCAAACTGAAAATTTACCTAGTATTAAATTAAATGATCTGTTTAATTGATATCATAACAACTTTGTAAAAATAACTAGATCACTAAAAGTTTTTACTGTTAGAGGTATGCAGTCTATAAATATTCTCTTTGGCTTCCTCTAAAGTCATTACCTCCAACATCATTAGACAGTTCATGATAGTAACCATCTCTTTCTGCTTCTGTGCTTTCACCCACACTCGCCCATTAAAACCAACCAACAGCATAAACTTAATTTTCTGGGCAATCATCAATAATAGTGAATTTTTAGGATTTACAATCAAACGAGCTATGTGTAAGGGAAGAGTAAACATGATACCTCCATCTGGAAGTGATCCTATTCCTACTAAATTATTAAATACATCAATACACACTAATTCAGGTTCGATATTTTTGTTTGCCACAAGTATCTGTCCGAAGATAAGATCACCAGGTTTCAATTCTTTTCTGGCCTTTTTTGAGGAGTTTTCAAACACTAACTCTGATATCGTTGCCTTATCACTTGCACCTATGTCAATAATGTAATTGTTGCCTGTTTTCTTGATAACTATACCAATAACAAATTCCTTTGCATTAGGAATATAACGCTTTTGGTGAGTGTCTACATAATACAAATTCTTGCTAGTTTTCTTCAGGAGACCTGAACGAGTTGCACAAATGACATTTTCTTGCCAGCGAAGCCCTGGTCCTATGGAGATGTCTGCCTTATCTGCATTAAGCTGCAGGACCTCATCCCCAGGCAGGACAACTCTCAACACCTCGACTCCACCAATACTGTAAAGAAAGAAGAAAATAATAAAGATTAAATAATCAACCAAGTCACACTTATTTTAACAACTTTATTCCTATAAAAAGTTACTTCCTAGTTAATAATATACTGTACTTTACTCTGACGAAGTAAGAGGGATGCATGTAAATTTTTTTAAGAAAAGCACGAAGCCAAAACTAACTCCTCAAGCTAATGCGATGCTTCTATCTTAAGAAGCATTGAAAAAATTGTACAAGAATTAATATATGCAGTGCTGTTAATGTCATTCATTTTGAATAATAAATTATGTGTAAATTGTGTTGTGTTCTCTTTGGAAATAGACTTTTAGGATACTCCCCGTACATAAGTCCAGGCTTCTTGAACACTCTGTACAATAATCAGTTAAGTAATAAAAGGAAATGTCTAACCTCACTACCATGTACTAAGCCTTTTCAAAAGTATATATGCAGATAGAAGAGAAATGCTCGGAAAATTCTGTGAGAAATATTATGGTATGATGGTATGTTCAGTCACAGGATAGGGGGCCACTGCTCAGTAGTCTTTATGGCAGTATGTTCACTCACAGGACGAGGGCCACTGCTCAGTAGTCTTTATGGCAGTATGTTCACTCACAGGATGAGTGCCACTCTAACAATAAAAAGTAAGCGCTAAACCCACCAAGATTAAAAAAAAAGCATTTTAACTATCCAACATAGTCTTGGGCAGTAATACTGCTTAGTACCATCCATCAAGTGAAAAATATTAACACACACCTGTAGCTTGCTTAACTTAAGGTTTTTTTCGCCTGCTGATTGTACAGGTTGAAGTGATGCACGTCACCTTTGATGATTACGTCACTACTGAGTGCCTGGCATTCGCCATGTGTGTATTAAATTGAAATGTATGGGACGAAACTTACTTAGTGCCCATTTTTGCTGCTCGCGCTGGTTTATTTACCTTGCGGGTTATGTAATCAAGCAGTTTACTTTAAGGGAGAAATTCGTCAATGTTTTTTCATTTTCTTCTTCACATCTAATTTACCTGATTTTTTTTACTTAATATGATGTATATATTGTATTCTTAATTATAATTAAGTGGGAACAGTATAATTTGTTGTCTATTGTGTAATAGGGATGTATGTATGTGCATGCTGAATCGTTTTCTATACATGTTTTCTCTCCCCGACCAGAGGGTTACTTATATAATATTAATAACAATATTAATTAATTAATTTTTCCATGTATTATAGAACAAGACCTTGTCTGGATTATTAACACGGAGAGTTAATAACCAAGGATAACTCACTAAAGCCAAGCAATGGGACTTATGCCTACGGGGGTCCTTGTTTCCTCCCTGAGAACGAGATCCACAATAATTGACTAACACCCAGGTACCTACACACAAATAACCCGCACATAGTCACACTAACAGAAAGGAGAGGAGGGAGTATATATAGGCCAGCAGACAGGGACGGGACAAGAGAAGTTTCCATCCGTGCCGGGAAATTGATCCGTGGTCCCTTAGTATGTGAGCTGAAGACTATCAATGAACATAAGTCATTCTACGGTTGATAAGATAAGATAAGATTTCGTTCGGATTTTTAACCCCGGAGGGTTAGCCACCCAGGATAACCCAAGAAAGTCAGTGCGCCATCGAGAACTGTCTAACTTATTTCCACTGTGGTCCTCAATCTTGTCCCCCAGGTTGCGACCCACACCAGTCGACTAACACCCAGGTACCTATTTGCTGCTAGGTGAACAGGACAATAGGTGTAAGGAAACGTGTCGAAATGTTTCCACCCGCCGGGAATCGAACCCGGGCCCTCCGTGTGTGAAGCGGGAGCTTTAGCCACCAGGCCTTGATCCTCTGTGATGCCTGGTCACAAACCGGGCCGCGGGGGCGTTGACCCCTGAAATCTTCTCCAGGTATTATGTCTGACTTTTTTGGGTTATTCTAGGTAATTTACACATATGTTACTAGGTATGATATTTGTACTTCTGGGACGTGTACTCAGCCATGGGACACTGGTGAATAGGGACACCAGGCTGAAAAAAAAAGGCTCGTTCATGTATTTCGCTTCACCCAAATTCGAATCCAGGTCCTTTAAGCTGTGATTCGAGCGCTTTAACAGTGATCAATAAGACACACCCTGCTACTAATTTCAGCTGTTTCCTCACCATTGATGTCATTAATTATTTTGATGTCATTGCAATAATGATGTTTAATATAGACAAGCTGTGGAATAAAAAAACATGTCTAACACTTGGGTATCTTTATTGGCGAAACCTTTCGTCAACAGGTGGCTTTATTCAATCCACTACAGAGAATATTATTATTATTATTATAATAAAAAAGAAGCGCTAAGCCACAAGGACTATACAACACTACAGAGAATAAATGCTGGAGGTGGTGGAAGAAGTGGGGCGGTAATTTGTGGTGATTAGTCCCTCAGCCTTGATAGGTATTCCATCCCTTAACCTTGACAGGTGTTCAGTCCCTTAGCTTTGATACTGTTCGAGGCACCGTAATTCAATGCTTCTTCTCCAATCTTTAAGAAAGTGCAAAGGAGAACAGATAATCTACGATACCCCATATCCTGTAGCCTATTTCCAGAGGTGGTTTTCACTTCCATTAATATTAGCTCTTAAAGTTCATATTCGCTAAAGCACCTAATCTTTCCCTAGACAATAGACAATGGGATTTGCCTAAACTTTCAGTCAGAGTTGAAAGGAGGTGGAAAGAGACACATGGAAGGCAACACAGAGGTTGTTGTCTTATGTTCCTGCCTCGCATTTTACACTGCGAATCAGTGAACCCTCCAAGGAGGAAGTTCATTGAAGATGGTGCAGAGAAAGAAGAAAATTTTGGTCTGATTATTAACCCAGGGTTTCATGGGGAAGTGGATAACAATCCTTCCTTCGTAAGCCATGCGTGTCATAAGAGGCGGCTAAAATGCCGGGATTATTATTATTATTATAATCAAGGGGGAAGCGCTAAACCCGGAGGATTATACAGCGCCTGGGGGGGGATGTGGAAGGCATTCAGGCTTAATTCGGGGAACTGGAGCACAGATCCAATTCCCTAAATCAAGAGCCCCTCACCAACATCAAGGAACCTTCCTTGAGGGGTAAAATGCCGGGAGCAAGGGGCTAGTAACCTCTCTCCCGTATAAATTACTATATGCAAAAAAAAAAAAACTTTGTATCTTCTTTATTCGGGTCACCCTGCCTTTGTGGGGGACGGCCGCTGTGTTAAACAAATGTAACCCAGGAATGATGTAGCTACTCGTGGCGAACCATTAATAAATTTTCTAAATTGCACACAAGGGTCCTTTTCCACATGTGTAGTTATCACCCTAAAATTACAACCGAGAGGATTAGTAACTCAGTAAAGTCAGGATGTTATCAGTCTTATTTTCACTGGGGTCCTTTGATCATATTCCTCAGGATGCCACCCACACTAGTCGCTTAACACCCGGGTGCTTATTTATTATAAGCTAGGTGAACAGGGGCAGCATGTGTAAGGAATATGGCCAATGTTTCCTCTCGTCTGATGGTCGAACCCCGGTCCTCTCGGTGTAGGAGCTAAGACAATGAATTTGAACAACCCTCTGCTTACTTAAAAAAAATTCTTTCTGCAGTATTACAAAATGTAGTTTACATGTTATAAAATATTGTTAAGCACAAAAGAAAGCCACTACATTCCCTGGAGCGCAGGCCAGAGAGATACATAATAATACATACTTGCAAAATCCTAGAGGGATTAGTACCAAACTTGCACACGAAAATCACTATGAAAGCAAAAGAATCGGCAGGAGATGCAACATTCCCCCGATGAAAAGCAGAGGCGCCACGAGTACACTGAGAGACAACACAATAAGTGTCCGGGGCCCAAGACTGTTCAACTGCCTCCCAGCATACGTAAGGGGGAATACCAATATACCCCTGGCTGTCTTCAAGAAGGCACTGGACAGGCACCAGTCAGTACCTGACCAACCGGGCTGTGGTTGTACGTCAGTTTACATGCACCCAACAGTAACAGCCTAGTTGATCAGACCCTGATCCACCACGAGGCCTAGTCTCGGACCGAGCCGCGGGGGCGTTGACCCCCGAAACCCTCTCCAGGTAAACTCCCGGTAAACATCATACTGCTTACAAACTACTTAAGAATAAGACTTTTTGTCATGTACAAAAGTGAGGTAACTAAATGAACAAGAGTATAATTTTAAGTATGCATTAATTTTATAATTGTATCTGATTAGCCAAGAACTGTATACCCCTAAATGTTTAGCGATTTTCCCATAATGTGGGTGATAAATGCTCATCAGGCTTTCACAGACTTGTAAAAGGCTGCTGTGATGGAGAAATGTTACCTAAATAGAAGTTCCATTTGATGCTTGTGTGTCTATATTAACTACTACCTGTCGATATTCCAATGCTATCTGCTATTATGTGTCTGTTAATATATTAAGAATGGGATTCACGATCCTAAGTGTGCTTACATAGATAGTACTATGCATTCACAGTCTTTTTTTTATTGCCCATAGATCAGTTTTACATGCTAAGAACTGTTATCCTAACTCGATTCATTTCAAATCCCAGCTCTGCCTGAGGCTGTCTACCGCCCCGTGGACTGCGACCCATGGGTGGTAGACTAACACCCAGGTACCTACTTACTGCTAACTAGATGAACAGGGGCAGCAGTTGTAAGGAAATATGCCCAACGGCAAGCTGAGTGCTCTACCAGCTGAGCAGGTCATATCAGCTTTCCTACTAGTATCCCCAGTGGGAGAGCTTCGTAGTGAAAACTACAGCATCAACAATATCTGAAATTATGTTAGAAAACAGAGCTCACTTCCAAGCATCGAGAGCTCCCCATACCAGGGATTTTGTATTGGTTGTCTATTTCTGCCTGGACACTCGTCTAAATCAAACCATTGCAGTCGCCATCCTCACTAAATCTGTGCATCGCCATACCAATTTGGGCTCTGATCTTAATTACCAGTATTGTGTTGTCAATGTTTTTATGGGTATGAGGTATGATGGTAATACAATGGTATACCAGCAGTATGTAAATAAGACACAATGTGGGTTTTAAAAGTAGAATTACCGACAATATGTTAGGTAAATGGACTCGTGTGCAACTAATGTGATATTTTATTGTGCAACGTTTCGCTCTCTGGGAGCTTTGTCAATCCAGTTTGACAAGGCTCTTGGAGAGCGAAACGTTGCTACAGTACAGTGTCACATTAGTTGCACATGTGTACTTTTACCTAACAACGTGGGTTATACCATGTTGCTATGAGAGCGTTTCGTTCACTAGGAACTTGATCAATTCACACAGCGAACAACACGACATGGGTATTTATAGTGGTTGGGGAGAGGTCTTGACTCCTGAGGTAATGAAGTCACAGGTAAAGAATAAGAATGCACAACACTGTGGCTAGAATAATACACAAATAACCCACACATAGTTAATGGTCCAAGTCGGACCGAAACGTCGTCACAAGTTTCATTGTCTTATGCGTGGGTTATTTGTGTAAAATCACATGTAAGTAGCTAGCCAAGAAAGCAAGGTTATTGGATCTAGGTGTCAGATATTGTGAGAATAAGCCTTGCTATTCTTTGAATATTGCAGAATGAAGACTGGAGGCGTTGGAAATGTACTTAAGAGCATCGCGTGGAGTGACCATTATGAAGAAAATAAGGCAGAAGGAAATTAGAAGAGTTTGTGATGGTGTGAAAAGTATATTTACAGAGCGTTGAGGAAGGGCTGCCGAGATAATTTTGACATTTAGAAAGCATGGAATAACATATGTAAATCAAGAGGATGTATAAATCTTGGGGACATCCCAGAGAGTGTTGGAAGTAGGATTCGAGGGAAGTTTTAAGAGCAAGTTCAGCCGATGTAGTTGGAACTAAGTAGTTTCTGATGTAAGTCATGAAACTGTA